TGCCCTCAAATGATGTCCATCCCATATCACCTTGTACTCCCTGATTTGGTGTATTCCCGTGAGCTCCTAAAGCAAGCCTACCTATTCCACGTTGCTTAATTTCTAATCTTGCTTGAACTTCTGATCTCATGCACAAGACCGCATTGCCGAACTTCAGCCCAGGAACCATGACCCCTTTCCATATTCCTCTCACAACATCATACCTATTGTAATTCCACAGTGCCCTATTTTTCATGAGTGCTGCATTCCTGTTACCTTTAGTCGTCACGTATATTTCGTGTTCCCTCAGATACTCGGTCCCATTGCTTATCCATACGCCCAGATATTTGTATTTATCTGTTATCTCTAGCGTGACCTCCTGTATTCTAAGCTCACTACCTTCGTTGTCATTGAAAATCATGACTGCTGATTTTTCCTTACTGAATCTAAACTCTAACCTATCTCCCTCATTACCGCAGATATCCATCAATCTCTGCAAATCTTCCTTGTTGTTGGCCATTAGCACTATATCATCTGCGTACATTAATGCTGGTAGTGCCTGATCAATAAGTTTTCCTTGTTTGACTAAAGAGAGGTTGAAGCCCAGTCCACTTCCCTCTAATTTTGCCTCTAATCCTTGTAGGTACATCATGAATAATAAGGGTGACAGGGGGCACCCCTGCCTAAGCCCCCGTTTTACCTCTGCAGGCTTGGATACCTGTTTTTCCCACTTTATAACTACCTTGTTACCTTTATAGATACCCTTTAAAAGATTAGTGACTACATGTTCCACGCCTAGTGTGTCCAGTATTCCCCACAATTCCACTTGAACCACGCTATCGTACGCTCCCTTGATATCCAAAAATGCTAGCCACACGGGCCTGTGTTCCTTTTCTGCTATTTCGATGCACTGCGTCAGTGAGAACAGATTGTCTTCCAACCTCCTGTGTTTCCGAAACCCATTCTGCAGTTCCCCCAGCACCCCCTCATCCTCTATCCACGCCTGCAGTCTTTCCTTTATAATCTGCATCGCCAGCCTGTAGACCACTGATGTCACTGTTATAGGACGGTAGTTGTTTATGTCAGCTTTGTCCCCCTTTCCTTTATAGATCATGCTCATCCTGCTAAGTTTCCATCCATCGGGAACTTCACCATCGATTATTATTGTGCTCACTGCCTCTCTCAAAGCTTGCTTAGACTTCGGACCTAATGTCTTTATCAGCCTAATTGGAATGCCATCTGGGCCTGTTGATGTACTACTAGGAACCCTTTTCTCAGCCCTTTCCCACTCTCGTTGTGAAAATGGAGCCATTGCACCACTTGATTCATCCTTGTCTATTGTGGTGCATAAAGTACCTCTTTGTTGAAATTTTTCTGTCACCCTTGTTCTTATATATTCAATAGCTTTGTCCCCTTCTAGCCTGGTGCCTTGGGCTGTAGTTATAAAACTCTGCTCTAGGCTCGTCTCATTTCTTAGGGAGTTTAGATGGTTCCAAAATTTCGCAGCTGCGTTCTATTTTTTTATGTACTTCTGCCAGCCACTGAGCTCCCTTTCTTCTAATCTTTTCATTGATCAGAAGGGATGCAGCCCTTCTACAGCTTAGAAAGGTTTCCCATTTTCTTTCAACATCATCTGTCGGTTCACCCAGCTGCTTAGCATGTCTGTGTTCCCTAGAGGCTTCCTGACGTTTTGCTATGGCTCTCTTAACTTGCTCATCCCACCAACTTTTGGGTTTGTGTCTTCTTTTTCGGGGTGACTTGTTACGCGTCTTAGCAAGCTCTAGCTCAAAGAGTCTAATCAGATTCGTGTATGTCCACCCTGTCTTATTATCCTCCGTGATTACTTTCTCAATTTGTTTAGTGGCTATTTCAATTTGCTTTTCTGAATAAAATTTTTCCTGTAGTTGCTCATTTGTCTCCTTCCCACTTTCACTGCTCTTCCAAAACTTAGCTTGATACGTTTGTGATCACTACCCAGACTTCTGGAGCCACCTTCATCTATGTGCATTCCCCTGAGCTTATCATACATCCTATGTTACATCAGTGCATAATCTATTGTCGACTGCAGCCTTCCTACCTCCCATGTTATTTGCCCTTCACACTTCTCGGTACTGTTGCAAATACCCTTTAATACCCTTTTCAGGATGGATGGATGGATGGATGGATGGATATGGCTGTACCCTTTAGATCGGGCGGTGGCTAGCGCCACCAAGCCGTAATACCTAATGAACCAAAAACTATATTTTTTTTCCTTAAAAAAAGAGTTTGAGGATTCGTACTTTGCAGTGAAGAGTTTAATTTTCACTCGTTCCTTGACTTTAGCCACCAATCAGATAACCTCCTTCTAGTTAAGTCTACCCGCTTAAAGTTTATTTTGCCCTCCCGGTCCCTAAACCCCAGGGCTTTGAAAAACTCTGCGCCATCATCCTGGACTATAGGGTGAAGCCCTTTACAGAACATTATCAAGTGTTCTGCAGTTTCTTCTTCCTCTCCACACGCACTGCATACTGTATCTACCCCTTCGTATTTGGCCCGATATGTCTTGGTTCGCAGTACTCCCGTTCTGGCCTCAAACAGTAGAGAACTACCCCGAGTATTATCGTAGATCCTTTCCTTGGCAATTTCCTGCTTAAACGTTCGATAGATCTCTAGTGCGGACTTCTTTATCATGCCCATTCTCCACATGTCAGTCTCCGTTTCCTTCACTTTCTTTTTAACCGATAGTTCTTTTTGGTTTGGCCACCTGCTGTTTTCTAAGTATTTACCTGTCAACTTCCTGGTTCGCTTCCTCCATTTTGTATCGACATTCTTCATGTACAAGTAGCTGAAAACTTTCCTAGCCCAACGCTCTTCCCCCATTTCTCTCAATCGCTTCTCAAATTTTATCTTGCTGCTAGCTTCCCTGCCCTCAAATGATGTCCATCCCATATCACCTTGTACTCCCTGATTTGGTGTATTCCCGTGAGCTCCTAAAGCAAGCCTACCTATTCCACGTTGCTTAATTTCTAATCTTGCTTGAACTTCTGATCTCATGCACAAGACCGCATTGCCGAACGTCAGCCCAGGAACCATGACCCCTTTCCATATTCCTCTCACAACATCATACCTATTGTAATTCCACAGTGCCCTATTTTTCATGAGTGCTGCATTCCTGTTACCTTTAGTCGTCACGTATATTTCGTGTTCCCTCAGATACTCGGTCCCATTGCTTATCCATACGCCCAGATATTTGTATTTATCTGTTATCTCTAGCGTGACCTCCTGTATTCTAAGCTCACTACCTTCGTTGTCATTGAAAATCATGACTGCTGATTTTTCCTTACTGAATCTAAACTCTAACCTATCTCCCTCATTACCGCAGATATCCATCAATCTCTGCAAATCTTCCTTGTTGTTGGCCATTAGCACTATATCATCTGCGTACATTAATGCTGGTAGTGCCTGATCAATAAGTTTTCCTTGTTTGACTAAAGAGAGGTTGAAGCCCAGTCCACTTCCCTCTAATTTTGCCTCTAATCCTTGTAGGTACATCATGAATAATAAGGGTGACAGGGGCACCCCTGCCTAAGCCCCCGTTTTACCTCTGCAGGCTTGGATACCTGTTTTTCCCACTTTATAACTACCTTGTTACCTTTATAGATACCCTTTAAAAGATTAGTGACTACATGTTCCACGCCTAGTGTGTCCAGTATTCCCCACAATTCCACTTGAACCACGCTATCGTACGCTCCCTTGATATCCAAAAATGCTAGCCACACGGGCCTGTGTTCCTTTTTCTGCTATTTCGATGCACTGCGTCAGTGAGAACAGATTGTCTTCCAACCTCCTGTGTTTCCGAAACCCATTCTGCAGTTCCCCCAGCACCCCCTCATCCTCTATCCACGCCTGCAGTCTTTCCTTTATAATCTGCATCGCCAGCCTGTAGACCACTGATGTCACTGTTATAGGACGGTAGTTGTTTATGTCAGCTTTGTCCCCCTTTCCTTTATAGATCATGCTCATCCTGCTAAGTTTCCATCCATCGGGAACTTCACCATCGATTATTATTGTGCTCACTGCCTCTGTCAAAGCTTGCTTAGACTTCGGACCTAATGTCTTTATCAGCCTAATTGGAATGCCATCTGGGCCTGTTGATGTACTACTAGGAACCCTTTTCTCAGCCCTTTCCCACTCTTGTTGTGAAAATGGAGCCATTGCACCACTTGATTCGTCCTTGTCTATTGTGGTGCATAAAGTACTTCTTTGTTGAAATTTTTCTGTCACTTTTGTTCTTATATATTCAATAGCTTCGTCCCCTTCTAGCCTAGCACCTTGGGCTGTAGTTATAAATATCTGCTCTAGGCTCGTCTCATTTCTTAGGGAGTTTAGATGGTTCCAAAATTTCGCAGCTGCCTTTCTATCTTTTTTTATGTACTTCTGCCAGCCACTGAGCTCCCTTTCTTCTAATCTTTTCATTGATCAGAAGGGATGCATCCCTTCTACAGCTTAGAAAGGTTGCCCATATTCTTTCAACATCATCTGTCGGTTCACCCCGCTGCTTAGCATGTCTGTGCTCCCTAGAGGCTTCCTGACGTTTTGCTATGGCTCTCTTAACTTCCTCATCCCACCAACTCTTGGGTTTGTGTCTTTTTTTCCGGGGTGACTTGTCACGCGTCTTAGCAAGCTCTAGCTCAAAGAGTCTAATTAGATTCGTGTATGTCCACACTGTCTTATTATCCTGTCTTATTAGGAGAAAGTCGCCGCAGCGCCGTCTAGTGGTTTTTATGAAAACGGCCTAACAGGGAGAATCGCCCTCGTCCTACTACCCTTATCTAGTTCACTGCAGTCATGCTAAAAATGACCGCCCTCGCGCGGGTTAGCCACAAAACTTTTTTTTTTCTTTATTGGGTTAGTCACAGAACACCTACCAGTTAGTCCGCAACAAAATGCTTCGCATTTAAAAGCCCTCCCAGCTGCTGGAAAACGCATTGCCCTAGTGACGGCGCCACTGTGAAAATTCCCTAGGCCTACCTAGGCGACTCGCGACTCTGTCCCTGCACTAGCTCAACTAAGTGCCGCACGTCATCCTCGCGCGCTGGAAGATTTTGGAGGCAACGACAAAGTTAACGCGGGCGAGGCGTGTTTCATTTTCACACACGCGTTCGAGATGTCTGACAAGGAACCAAGTGGCGGCGATGGGAAAACGGCGTCTGCCGACAGCAGTGCATCCTTGGACGCTATCGTGTCCGAAGAGGAAAAGCAACTGGCCACATCTGCAGCGACCGACTTCCATGCCGGCAAGTACAGCGCCTGCCTAGAGACGTTGGACAAGCTTCACGCGTTGAGGCCAACGGACCCCAAAGTGGCGCACAACCGGGCAGTGGCTCGTTACCACGCGTCTTTGGTGAGCATGGAGGAGTTCGGGCGCGAGCTTGTCGAAAGTTCGCCGCAACTGACGGACTCGCTTGACGACATAGATCAGTGCATTCCGTTCTTCAACCACGCTGTGGCCCTCTTCCACGCGCAGCAGTACCGCCGAGCCTTGGCCATATTAGACCGCTTGTTCCAGTTCATAGAGCCCATGGATGAGACCGTGGCCCGAAAGATGTGCTTCCTCCACATCGAGCTATGCCTTTGCCTAAAGCAGCCAGAGAAGGCCCTGGCCACCGTCGCATACCTCGAAAATCTCGTGTTTAAGGCGGACAGCACAGCAGCGGACGCCGACGCGTGCCGTGTGCAGCTCTACAAGACGCGCTGCCTCATCATGATGCGCTCGGTGAAGGCCAGCAAGCGTGAGATCAAGAATCTGGTCAGCTCGTCAGCGGGGAGCAGCAGCCAGACGGTGTTCCTGAGGAGTCAGCTGGAGTTCCTCCGAGGAAACTACCGCAAGGCCGTCAAAGTTCTGGCCACGGTGCAGGCAAACGATGCGCGCACTGCCGCCATGTACCACAACAACCTCGGCTGTGTCCACTTGTGCTCGGGCAAGCCGCACCTGGGCAGCTACAACTTCGCTAAAGCCCTCAACACCTACGTCGAGAGCAGCTCCAAGCTTGACGGCCGGCTCTACTTCGATCTGCTGTACAACCTCGGCCTGCAGAACCTGTATTGCGGCAAGTACACGTCCGCTTTCGATTGCCTCGTGGAGGCGGTGCGCATGCAGCCCACCAACTCTCGGCTCTGGCTGCGCATCGCCGAATGTTGCGTGAACCGGCACAAATTGGACAACTCCACCGATTTCCAGCTCAAGGATCGCAAGCGGTACATGGTGAGCGGCACCGCAGGTGCTGGCCCGCACCGCAAGATCATCCTGGCACCCAGCATTTCGACCTGCAAGCGCACGCCAGCCGTTGGCTCGGCTGCCATTCCGGTTCCCACCCTGGAGTTTGCTGCTCTTTGTCTGCGCAACGTGCTGCAGATGCTTCCTGAAGCTCTACAAGAAGCAGAAGAGCGAAATTCGGCGCTTGCCCTGGCCGCCTACGTGGCGCTCTGCCTGGATGACCCCCGGATGGCACTGAAGCACGCTAAGGATCTACTTGCCCAGCCCAAAGTGACTGGCACACACAGCTTCCTGGCGCATCAGTACGCTGCCGAAGCGTTGCTGCTGCTCGACGGTGTCAGGGACGCCATCGAACACCTGAACCCAGACTTAATCAAGGATCTGTCGTACAGTTTCTCCGAGCCCGAGGAAACCAAAGGAAAAGATAACGACAAAACAATGGAAGAAAACGGAAAAGCGTACAGGAAGCCGTGGTATCCAGCCTCTCCTTCCATGGCCAAGGTGGTCAGCCTATACAATTTGGCTGTAGCGTACACTCTGAGGGGTAGTCTAGGAAAAGCAACGGAGACACTCAGGTTGGTCAGTGTGCCAAAGGGCCCTGACCCTGAAATACCCGTGCAGGCCCTTATGTTGGCCGTATACGTCCAACTTCAGCAGGGTCATGCTGACTTGGCTAAGAATATAATCAAACAACATCTTCCCCAATACAAGTAAGCTACGTGTGTCACCTTCATCCTGGCTTATAACTAAAAGTGGAGCTCATCATGCGGAATAGCTTTTGTTTGCCTAATACACAACAGAAACATCTGTGGAGTACCAGTGTGCAGTTACAAAAATAAGCATTGCAGGCACTGTGTTTGCAGACAATGCAGGCCAATTTTTCTGATGACTTCATTGCAGGCCTTTTTAGGTGTTACATTAATGCTGTGTGGAATGATATCCCACATCTGATGCATTTTAGTTTCGTGAGATGCGAGTGATAACTACCAAATTAATGTACTGGCTTGCAATTATACTGGAAGCACTGCAACATGGCTTATGTGGAAAGTGACAGAAGGTTGTGCAGTAGTCTCTGAAAGTTCAGTTTGATCAAGCAATATGCAGCGATGCTTTATCTTCATTTGCCGGATAGTGGCAGAGTGATTGCCACGCTGTTTGACATGACTCAAAGTGTGCTCTGTTTTATGATGTCTGTGAACTAGTCGCAATTAAATTGTACATTTTCTACAATTAACAGAGCTCTTGCCTGTCTTCGTATTTTAACATGTGGAAATCGTAGTTCTGTTTTTGTCATGTAGGTACAGAAATACAGAAGCATCTTTTACTACATATTTAGCATGAATGACTTGCTTGGCCGTAAACAGCACAGCTATGCCAGAAAATGAGATCGTAAGTTAATGGCAAACATATAACGAGGTATGTTCTCCTTCTTTACGGCACAAATGTGGTTATAGAGATTAATGGTGGTGGCACTTGTAAAAAGGCTGTGTTCGACGTGAAATCCCTGAAATATTTGCAGATTAGAATGCCCAGGCATCGATTTTTATGTGGTAGGTGAAGTCAAAAGGACCGGCATCTGGCCAGAATGTGTGACTGAATCTTTGTGGAAACGAAAAGATGGTGACGTTCAAGTGTAACATACTTGAACGTGCATTTCGAGGTTTTGGTTGGCTTATATATTTCAATTTTATTAAAAGCTACAACAAACCTGAATGCCTTGCTGTCTAGCAGGTGTTGCACTATGAAGTAATTCTGTTTGCTGTACATTGCCTGATGCTTTTATGCACCCCATAATTAGTGCTTAAGGTTGGAGTATGTATGTTATTACCTGCTACACTTTATTTTGTGCTGCTTACAAGGGAAATAATTGACCCTTAGAAGTGATTGTGGCGGCTGGTGGAAGATTTTGAGCTGCGGTGCATGCACAACAATCCGCAGTGCAGAGACTTGGAACTGCTGTCATGCTCATGTCCAATTGCTTGCAGTTTGGTTGTATGTACAAAATCGCAGTCGCTGCAGAGTGAGAAATTCTGGTTATAAATGTTTTGTACTGATTTCCATGTTACCATTATGTTATGAGACATAGAATGAAACTATGAAAAACAGGTACTATAAAAATTTGTCACCGGCCTCTTAAGGCATGAGGCAATTCATGCTTCTATATAAGCATTATTAAGGATTTATTTCAATATGTGCGATACACCGTAAAACACTTTCATGAAATCGGGAGAGAGTGTGTGTTTGTCAGATATGGTCAACTCTTGATTCCCTCGTGCACAGTGTGCAGTAACTGCTTAAAGCCCACTCAGAAAAACACCAGGCCTGCGCGGAACGAGCTACACAGTGGAAGCTAGATGAACGGCCTTTTACAGCCTTTTCTAAACACTCTTAGGGTAACTGCTTCGAGCACACTGCTGGGTACCCACTATGCCGTAAGTAATCATAATTATTGTGTATAGGCCAGAATTTACTCTGCTATCCTTCGTAATTCTTTGCAGAAGTGTGGTATTTGCTTCACACTTTTTCAGAATTTTTTGAATTTTTTTTATGTAGTGGCGGACGACAACAAATCATGCCTGAAGTGGGTATGCGCTACAGTTAATAGCTGATCAAAAACAAGTTTTTAGGGGCGAAGCTCCTTATGGCGTGGTTCTGCCGCTCTTTTGTAGGTATTTATTTATTTCTTCAAAATACCTTATAGACCCATCAGGGCATTGTGTAAGGGGAGCACAAAAGGAATAGATACACGAATTTGCATACAAAAAATAACATGTATGTAACATGTGTATATGTACGTATGTGCGTAGCCACAGGGGTTGCGAGATGGCGGTACTTGGAGTGTTCACTGTACGGACGCATGCACAGACAGACTAGTAGACTAACGGACGGACGGATGGTTGCACGGACGGGCTGACAGACGCTTCACCCCACTCATCATTCGCTTCATGGATACGCTGCAATTTTTTTAATGGGTTGGAGCATTAGACAATGCATTCTTTATTCAATTCGCATTGTGTGACGCCTGGATACCCCTTTGGTCTTCTAAAACACTTTATTATTCATATTATCGTGATTCTTTCCCCGACATCAAGACTGCCTAAGGCCAGTTTAGAATCGAGTTACAAGCACTAGCGTGGCTCGGTGGTAGAATATTGGGTTGGCACGCTTCGGACCCGGGTCCAAGTCCCATGGTGTTCTTTATTTACCAATTTTTTTTTTTTCTTTCGATACTGGTTATGGACACCGGCGGTGGTGGTGGACAACTATGACGCCGCGCGTAACCGGTATTCTGATCTCGTAACAGCTTTCGTTGTAAAACCATGCTGCTCTTTGTAAAAATTTCTTCTGTCAGACTGTCAGAAAAGTCATGCTGTGTGCACACAAGAAACACTTCAAAGCCTGAGAGTAGTGGAGCATAACACTTAGACTAGTGTGCAGTTTTAGGCTTTTCAGTTACTACCAGTGTTGTAGGTTGGTGCACCAAGTTTTTCAGTCATCTTGGATAGCACTTGTAGCGAGACCGTAAGTTAAAAATCTGCTTACTTTCACAGAAGCAATGCCATTAAAGCCTTTTGATCTTTCACAGAATAAGCAATGCTGATAAAGATAGCCAAATAAGCCAGCAATAGCAGCACAGAACAGATAACAAAAGAGGGGGGAGCGGCTTGGGATTGCATGCATTATCATTTGATTTAGGAGTAGATGGAAACTGGCATAGTTAAAAAATCCTTGAAATGGAATTGTTGCTAGAGCCAATGTTTTGACGAGCACTCTTGTCTTTAAACCAGCAACAAGCCTTGGAAATGTCCTTTTGTCAAAAGTTGGCTCCAGTGGCACTCTTGTTGAAGGATTTTTTTATCTATGACAAAGAAAGCTGAGTAAGGATTTAGGGCAATGACTGCATCACGTTGACTTGTGCAATTTCGGATTGCTTTCAAGAGCACACATTATAAGACCAGCTCGCTCTGTCTTTAACCAAATTTTCTGAAATCTTGAAATTTTATAGCATTGCTCCACCTGAAATGGACGTACCAGTCATGAGTTTGCTTTCAGCTATTACAAGAAAATCGAAATATAGGTTCAGCTCTATAAAATGCAGATATTTTAGTATGTCCCAACGATAGCAATGTCGCGTTTCTAGGGAACAGAAGGAAAAAAATTGATTAACTCTGTACAACTCCAACAACCAAGAACGCCGCAAAAGTGTTGGCTGTATACTTATCCTAATAGCAGTGACTGCTGCAGCAGAGGCGTAAGGTATAGAAATTGCTTCTGAGCCACATTTGACATTTTAAATGAACGTGCACATTACATGCATTATGATAATAATTTGGTGCTTTTTGTGCTAGTAACAAAATGGCCAAGGAGCATCACGACACTGGTAATGAGTTAGCAATGAAAGGGATGTTGTACTCAAAAAGAGTCATTATGTAGGTGTATAACATGAAGCAATAAAGCTTTGGCTGTGTTTCTATGCTGATTTCAGATATCTAATAAATTTTAAGGTCGCTTGCCTAGTTTTTATGTTGTATCCCGGCACTAAGTAGGTCTTCTTGCACCACTTTTTCTAACGCCGAACATATATATTTGAGTCATTAATTGGCTTATATCCTTTGCATCAAAAAATTTGTGCATGTAAAATATGTTAATGAATGAGGAAAATTAGAACCTGGGAGGTCAGATCAGTCAGAGTGCAGTAATCAGTTGCTTGAAATTAATGTTTAAAGTAGATGGGCGATGGCCATCCTCATGTTAGAACGCGGGGAAAAAAATATCCAGATTGAAGCCTCAAAGTATGTTTAAAAGCCACATAGCTAAACTGAATCCGATGTATAGTGCATCCAGGATGGGACAAAGCAGAACACACAGAACTCAAACTAATCGCGGATTGATTGATATGTGGTGTTTAACGTCCCAAAACCACTATATGATTATGAGAGACGCCGTGGTGGAGGGCTCCGGAAATTTCGACCTCCTTGGGTTCTTTAACGTGAACCCAAATCTGAGCACACGGGCGTACATTTCCGCCTCCATCGGAAATGCAGCCGCCTCAGCCGGGATTCGATCCCGCGACCTGCGGGTCAGCAGCCGAGTACCTTAGTCACTAGATCACTGCTGCGAGGCACAAACTAAGCACTAACTTGAACAATGCAGCTTATACTGAGAATCAACAATCCGTACATTGGATACTGTGGATAATCAACAAGCCCGCCATGCAACCTTAGCTAAACCAGATTGAAGGACTCTGGCTAAACTGAAGTTTCTAAAATTGATATTTAGGAAAGCACAAGAGGTGAAATTTAAAGTTTGTCTGTGGCAAATATATTCTCTTTTATTGTTCGTATTTCATGCTTGATGGAAGCTTAGGAATAGATTAATAATGTGACATTGGTGAACAGCTCACATAGACTTCCAGTGTCAAACCGAAAAACATAATTACCGTATTGACTAGGGAACTCTCGCAAATGCACACTTTTGTCAAAACAAAACAAAGAATGGTCAAAAACCGCCTTGTGTTTTTTTTTCTTGCGTGATCTTCGAGCAAAGTGCGGTGCGCTAGCAGGAGTTGCGTTCCTCGCGCAAACCTAAGTAGGGACCTTACGCAAACCACGACTGCAGCGCTCCTGGTGTCCGTAGCAGCGACGGGTCGCGCGTGAGACGAGGAGGCATGACAGCTGGAAAAGTTCCACACACAAGCACAGAATGACCTCGTACATCGTACGATTATTTTGTGTGTGTGTGTGTTAACAGCCTTCGCGTACGGCAAAACTCCGAGAAGCCAAGATTTCTGCACGAAATCTATGACATCTCTCTAGTGCTGCATCTCTCTAGCTGACATCGACTTCAGACTATTAATTTTGCGCGTGCGCAGTAGTGATATCAGTTAGCGCGCGAATGTCTGCATAAACGCACATGTGTGGCTGTCAAGCGTCTCGGACTCGCGACTGGCGGATGGCGTCTTTGGCAGGCTGAAAAACATGGGAGGCTCGTACGATCTGCATAACATCGTTCGCAACCTGCGCTCCCACAAGAGCACGGACCGCAAAGTACGTGTCTACTGTTGGGCCATTGTGGCAGTAGGCCCTGATCTACTACTTTGAGCTTCTATCTTTTGTACGAATGTGTACATTCACTAGCAAGACTTATTTCGCTCAACGTAATGTAGGTTTCTTGTCTTGGTGAAGGGATACGCCGCGCATTCTCAAGAGAAAGACCACGGAGAGGCATGTTTAGCTTGTGGCCGGCCAAACAGGCTGTTGCATTATAATGACGTCAACACTTTTGCGAAAGGGCAGAAAAAAGACGGGATTCCGGTTAATCTTCCGAAAAGCGTACTTTCTAATCTGTAGCCATGTAAAGCTCGCGCATCGCGGCGATAACAAACGGCTAGGAGACAAATGTCGGCATCTACACGCGGTGCGAAAGGAAATGAGTGGGTAAAGCAGGAGTGGTGCCTAGCCCAAGTACGACATCCATGACCGAGGTCGCGGATCTTATTTCGCAAGGAAGTGCCTTATTACGCTTCTGGCTTTTACCCCTATTGAGTGCCGGCAACAAATTGAGAAATGACTAAAGCATAATTTTATTGCACATCTGAATAGCAGCTCTTTTTCCAGACTTGAAAATAGATAACACGGTGAAGCAAATTGACAAATTTCTCTGAAAGCACGACATAACAAGAAGCATGCCCGCCGATGTTAAGATTTCGGAGCTGACTGGCGTTGAGTTCCATCTTTTTCCAGACTAGAAAATAGATAACATGGTGAAGCAAGATAAAGAGTGCTTAACAGCCCAAATGACAGGAGGGGATAGAAGAGACGGGACAGAGAGCTGAACTGCCAACAATTTATTTCTTGCGAAGCTCTTCGCTTTTATGTTACGAGTTAACAGTTGTTCCAGTTTTATTCAGTTTATACCAACACGCCCAATCATACTGTCTCTTATGGTGAAGCAAATTAACAATTTTGTCTGAAAGCACAAAATATTAAGAAGCATGTCCGCCGATGTTAAAATTTCGGAGCTGACCGGCATTCAGTTCCATCGCGACTACTCGGTGCTACCTGTACACATATCTAATGCTTTTACGTGTGAACAATCAAAAGCTTTTGAAGAATGGTGATAATGAATAGCAACCTTTCAGATCAAAACATGACCTGTTGAGTGTTCTTTGCCTTCTGTTAACCCAATAAAGTTTGGGAAGCACCGTGCTTTCGCGCGAGTCAGGTGTCCATGCCTGCGGGGGCAGTTCATGCTCAAATATAATTCTCGGCGAATCCTTCAGCCAATTCAAGTGTTCGTTTGATCTGCCTGCAGCACCTGAACCAGTTCACGAGGTGCTGCATCTTGTAATTCGTACCAGTGGTAGAGCATTGGCAGCTTCTGAATCATTCCAGATATGTAAAGGTGTACATGTGAGGTGTACTGCTCGTGTGCAATTTTCCTGCACCCTCTCTGCCAGCTTGTTGCAGATCTGTGCATGTGCAGGCAGCTCAGCATTCTGGCGTAGGTGCTGTTTGCCTCTACTGTTTCTATGAAGCGGGGCTTTGTTTTGCCAAAGTTTTTGCACCACCTCACAAAGGCCTGCACCATGCTGCCACCTTGACATTCGTTTCTGGGGGTTGGGCTGTACGTGCAACACCAAATTTGTGCTGCACCACTGTGAACTATTCTCCGTTTCATGCATCAGGTGCAATGCTGTAGAGGCTAGCGAGAGTTCTTGCAATAAATGCATTTGCACTAAGAAATATTATCATGATTTTCCCACCTGAGACACGATTTCTTTTCCTCTTTGGGCTTAGTAATAAGAGATGATGCTTTGTGTGCCAGAGATAAAGACAGCTCATTATGGGGCCGTCTTTGAGTCCTTCCGGATCACTTCACGTTTCTTTTGTCTCATGTTTGGTGTTTTATTTGTAGCCTTTCTTTTTTATTCATAGTCATTGACGGTGTCAATGTCCAGAAACCTTGCAGTGGTCTAGAAACCTCGTAGTGCTACTTTTGTGCCAAGGAAGAGCTTACTTTGAAATAAAATCACATTGGAGTGGTCCGCATCGCATCAGCACACTGCAAATTACCTGCCTCAAGTGGAAAGTTTCACGTCACTGCTGCCGTGCACAACGATGCCCGGCTTTACTGCGGGGCTGCCGACATTAATAGCAGTAGAGTGAAAATAGTGGGAGCCACAGCAGCAACAACGGCCATTGACAATTTCCTGCCATAGCCTCCGAGATGGCAGGCATCCTTGGTTCATTTGGGCTCTGCTATATGGCCCAACCTGTCCAGCTTAACCAGGCGAAAGTTGAAATTTTGAAGCACTCGCGCCGTTTCCCATAGTAACATCCGGCGGTTCTTTTTTTCATGAATCAAACAGAAACGAACAAGTGGCATTTCATTGCGTCTCTTGATGTACGAAAGGTTCTTTATTTAGTGCAGCTGGTTCGATTACTAGTGATTAATGGTAGGTGGTAGCTCTGGCGTCGGTGGGATCATTTTTCAAATGTCCTACTCGTGGTGCATGTGTTCTTGTGCATTAACCTTAATTTGTTGGTAAGTTGGGCACTGCTGTTGATAATATTGTCGTTTTAGCCATCGTACATTGAGCCTTAACTCTGACATAAATTGTTGTTTGACTTTGTGTCCCTTTGATTCTCTATTCAATATGGCTACTGCTGCCCCCTTTTACTTTTATGCTATCTCTGGTTAGGATCCTTTCCATTCAGAGAGTGAGTAAGGAAGACTTGCACCTTCCCACCCAAAACTTGCATGCAGTTTGGGAAGGAAGCAGAAAAGAATGCGTACCTCCTGGCATAGGCAGTGCTGAGCATGCTCGGCCCCGGTGCGCAGCACAACTCATTCTGAGGCATCCAACATGGGAGGTCAGGAGGCGCTCTTGCATTGGAGACTCGCCACTCATAGCAACCTCAACTTATTGTGTCATGGGAGGTATTATTTGGAAGGACAAACAACTCTTTAGAGCTGCCTGGGCAGCTCTAAAGAGTTGTTCTAAAGCCTCTGGGCAAAGGTCCCACCTGTAGACAGTCTTTCTCTTCTCAGAAGTGTGTTACATTGGGCTTGTGTGTAAAACATGATAAAAAGTAAAAACAGTGCAAACTAAAAGAGACAAATAGTGTTTTTCCTGTCTGTCATTTTTTTCGTTTGTCTCTTCTAGTTTCCACCGTTTTTACCTTTCTGTGCTATCATTTTGCCTTTCAATGAATTTTTCCACCGCCAAACCATAAAACATTGAAAACCTGCCTCTTTTCAATGCCATGTGGGTAAATGCCATCCTGTTCAAAAGAAAACCATTCATGACCAGTTAGTAAAGGGGTGCTGACACGAAAATTTTCATTGTTGTTTTTGGGGTCAAATGAAAGGTTAAGCCCTCAAGAGCCTAGAAAATGTAGCGCTAAGTGCGAGTGCACCCCGAAAAAGTAATCATGCAGTATGTTTTTCAAACTAGTTTCGGTCACTACTGTACCATGACGTCGCAACACGGTATCAGCTTATTGCAACGTGATTGCGCAAGATATAGAGACATTTCCGCAGCCACATGGCACCGTGGCTCTGTTGGTGACGCACAAGGGACCGTTTTGAATGGTTCGGTGATTTACAAATGGCAGTTCAAAAGTTTTGGTTCCTTGACGTCATAACACTTAGTCAGATTGCTGGGTGATGACACCAGAGTCAGTACTGTAGCCTGGCGTGAAAACGGTGTCAATGTCAGTTGGTGCGCCATAGAAAAATTTATTCCAATGTCAAAATAAAATGACTTATCAGCATTTGCTGAGCTTCACACTTGCTCAGAGCCATCTCAATATGCAGGAGATTTGCATGGCAGGGTAAACGTGCCTTCCAAAAAAGGTGCCATTTTAAAGGCCAATAGCATTGACATGATTGTGTAAGTTTATATATAAAGAAATGAACGAGTGTGTATTTTTGAAAGTATTAATTTATTAAATCCATTTCATTGTTTCTTCAGAGGTCAATAATAGGACAGGATGCTAACATCAAGGATGCCTTCATTCATAAGTAATTCTTCCTCTAGGTCTTTCTGAAGTACATGTGCTGCCAAGCTGCAGACTAGGCTTTGTACATGTGTCGCGTCTCCAACCCATAGTGCACATATTCGCATCTATGGCGAGTTTGTTTAATAAGCAAGCAAGATAAGACGAGCACATTGTTTATTGCTGTGAGAGCAGTCAAAGACTGGGGGGATAGTCCACTCCGAAAAGATGCAAAGTTCAATCTCTTCACATATGGCAGTGACTTAGCTGGATGGGTCCAAGCCGATAATCAAAAGAAAGATGCCACACGAGGCAGAAAGTCTCCTCGTTCGTGTGGTTCTTTATACTTTTCTGTCTCGTTGCTCTCTGTAAAAAGCATGTCTGCCTTTCACGGAGAGATGAGTACCCTTTCGCTCATGCTGGGAAGTGACGGCTGGTGCGCAGCGCCAAGAAGCAAGATGGAAGGGGTGAAAGTTTGCACCCTCCTCACGTAACCTGTTCGTTCCCACTGCCAGTTTGCATACAAGCTCTGCTCATGGCATGCTGACTTGGGACTTAATTTCCTCAATAATGTTAACCTCCCCGTCTCCTTTTTATTTATATATCTCTTTCCTCAATAGAGGTTTGCAGTATCTCACTTAATATAGAAAAAAAAAGCTCACTCGCTGAGGCAGTGTAGATGTTGATAGCGGCAGCAAACATTTTCAATACGTATGTTGTAGAGCATTGTACATTTGCATGTTCTTCTCTAGGACCATCACTGGTGATCTATGCCGAGAATAATTCCATACACCCATGTTTAGCATATAAGAGTAAGAGCTTAGAGTCTTCACAGGTGCATGTGCGCAACTCTCAGTGGGACAGGATGAAAAGGTGGGCTAGTTGGTGGTTTATATTCGTTCAGCGAACTGGGAAACACACACAAAAGAGAGATAGTGAGTGATGCCAGTGCTCTGTGCTGGTTTCTTTTTTTCTGTTTACACTGCTCTTTTCTTTATTTACCTCTGGAGCACTTCATTTTGAAACTTTCTACCGTCTGGTGCATTTTTCTTTTTTTGTTTCAGTTTTCTCTATTTTTTGTGCAGCATGCAATGCATGAAGCTAAAGTTCATATGAGCCGTGCCAGTATTTGTGGAGTAGCTTGTTAAGTATAGCAGTGTAACTCATAAACATCGCCCTATACAAAAGTGTCTCTGGAAGCTAGGATATTTTCAGGTTAGTTTTCGTGCACCTAGTTGTGTGTAGAGTTTCGGAAGCATCACTTTATTAAAGATGTACTACATTGGATGTCACTCTGCACCTCAGAAATAGTTTTGATGGGGTCTTTAAAGACATTGAATATTATTGAATTTTCATCCCTTAAACTTTTATGAACTCTACATATTTGAAAAAATGTCTACAATAAAACATCATTAATTCGAGCTTGATTATTTGGAATTCCACCTAATTTGAAGGATTTTGGCAGTCCCGTATTTGGCAGTATAAGTTTGAGAGGATAATTTGAAGCGACAACAGCATCAGTCCATTTAATTCGAAATCTTTGAGTGCTTTATGTGCCGATTCCGATCCCGATTTAGCCGCAAATCCGCAAAAACAGCGGCCCTTAGGAGCCACAAGGCAGTGCAGTGCAGTGATGCTAATGAGTGACAGATGAAGCACCCCAGCCACGCTTCTGCCAGCGCAAAAAAAAAAAAAAAAAAAGGCGGTCTTGTGATTGATTCTTTTTCACAGGCTCACATTTTAACTGAACACGAGATACCCGTTTTATTTTTTTATGCTGGAAGCAGCGGTGCCCGCCGTTCATCCGTGCTCGCAGCAAGATTGGGCCCAGCTATTGCCGGAAAACACAACCACAGCAAACGACTATTTCTGACTACTTTCAGCAATTCAAAGTTCCTTGCACCCCATTTTTTCCATGTTTCATTAATTCAAAAACCCGCTTAATTCGAAGCTTTTTGACAGTCTCAGTGACTTTTAGTTAACGAGGTTTTATTGTAATTCCATAAGCTCACAGGGAACGCTCATTTAGTATATTGGGTCTGCAGTTGTTAGGAGCACCAGGAGCTTTCATATGTATTGCAGAGAAACACAGCACATGTCAGACGGTAGTGAGTGTATCTTTTATATGTTGAAAGTTTTTTATCATTTGTGTCAACTTCATAAAGACTTGCCATATTCCAGAGCAGGGAAGGAAAGCTGCTGAAGGTATAGAGTCTAGGCGTGACAAGATATCTGGGTTTCAGTTTTACCTTGTGGTAGTGTAGTTAGGTCACAGACTTAATTCAGGCTACTGCTTGTTGTGACCTCTGTTTTTGCATTACTGTATCTGTGTTTGTTACTGTTTTGTATTATTGACCAAGTTGTGGATTTCCTTTCAGAGGGCATTCACTTTGTTGAGGAATGCACTGAAAGACCAGAGTACTTAACCTCCTTGGACAAGAACACACTTGACAAAGTCAGCCTAACCTGGGATTTGGTTGCCACCAGCATTGCCAAAATTATTGAACAGGTATGTTGGATGTGCTACCTGCCTGACATTTTCTTTTTTTTGTGTGTGTGTGGTCTTGTGATGCACTTGGCTTGTTGGGTTCATGGGCTTTGCACACTTTGCAGTGAAAGCTTCCTGGGCACCACCTTATTGCCTGTCATGATTATCTCTGGAACGCTTGCAGAGGTTCTGGATTGAGAGAGGACACAGCAGGATTGAGAGTGGTGACACAGCAAACAAACTATCAAACAGAGCAGAAAGAGGAAACAAACACTCGTAAAACTCCATGCAAAAACAAAACATGTATACAGTAATCTACTATACAATTCAGTAATGGAAGTGCTGCTCTAACTGCTCCAAAAGAGAATCGCTGCTCTATGCTGCTCCAAAGTGCAATATTTGCTAACAACTGCTCTAAACCTGCTCGGAAAGTATGTTGGCAAACTAAAGAAAATGAAGTTGAACCATGGGACCATCCCATGAGCATAAGCGAAACCTAAAGCAAGCTGTATACGCTATCATCCTAGTATGCTACTCAGTGGCGTAAATCCAGAAAAATCTCAAGGAGTGACACACATAAAGTTTCATACAATAATACCTAGAGGGGAATCTGGCGCTAGTGCCTATGCGGGCTTCAGCGGCGCTTGTACCCCCATGGAAATTATGAGAAGTACAGGCTTCGGATCCGCTTTGGATGGATGGCGTTCTTGAGATTCGCGACACTTCTTGTTCGAGTGTAAAACAAAGTGATATGAACTTAGATTTAATTGGAACTTGCTTCAATTATTTGTACGCAAACTTCATTGCAAAAATTTTTTGTGACCAGGCGGCAAAAGTGAAACCTGGGCAAATTCAACCATCAGGGTATGCATCGCTCTACCATTGCGTTCCAGATTTGGCATTAAGATTTAATCAATTATTTTTTACAACATGTGAAAACAAACATGCTTGTTTTTTTTTAATGCTCTCTGTGGCGTCATTCAAGGAGCGGTCGCCCTACCAGCAGCTCGCGAGCATAATCTTGTGACTGCTTCACTCACCTACGCTGCGGCTGCAGCCATGCCAACTCGCAAGGCCCCTGCACCTCCGTTCCAGCCTCGCGCGAGCTATCCCCAACTTCCAGTTCACTGGACCAGCACTAACATCGCCAACCCGTAGCGCACCCTTGACAATAGCCCGATATGTTACGCATGTCGATACCCCGGACACGTCGCAAGGTGTTGCCGCCGCCGGACGTATACCACCGATGAAAATCGTCGTGAGCCCTTCTTCCCGCTTCCGCTTGACTCCATCGTGCAATACGGTTCCTACACTCCAATGCCAGCCCGCTACCAGGATGACCACCGCCCTCGGTCGGGACGTCTTCGCTCGCCCTCTCCACGCCGCCGCTCGCCTTCTTCTATGCGTCGACGGCCCGCGCCTAACGAGGAGGAAAACTAGACGATGCAGTTCCTGAAGCAAGAACTGCGCAAGTTTCGGTTTGCCCAAGTCCTCATTCGTCACCCAACAATGTTATTGATGTGTTCGTCCAAAATATCCCTACTGTCGCTCTTGTAGATACTGGGGCAGCTGTTTCTGTTATCGATGCTGGATTTTGCCGCTCAATTCGTAAGGTTACGACGCCTTTCTCCGGGTTATCGCTTCGCACAGCCAGTGCTCAACCTGTTCATCCGACCGCAGTATGTACAGCCCGTGTAACAATTCAGGACGTTCTGTATACGGTAGAGTGCATCGTTCTTTCATCGTGCTCCCATACTATTATCTTGGGATGGGACTTTTTGTCGCGTCATAACGCCGTAATAGACTGTGCTCGGGCTGAGGTTGAATTTTGCTCACTGGATGACCGAGCGTCCGTCGACACCCAGTCTACCGCTAAACTTGTCGTTAACAATGACACCTACATCCCTCCATGCTATTTTGCGGTTGTACTAGTTTCATGCAGCGCCATATCCGACGGCACGGTCTTCTTCACACCATCTCCAACATTCATTGCCCGAAGAGCCCTCCCCCTGCCATTCGCTGCTCTCGACCTTGTAGGAGGCTCAACCACAATGCCAATTTATAATTATGAGTCATCGCCTTTATCCCTACTTTGTCACGAGTGCCTTGGCCACATCGAGACAATCAGTTCTACCAGAATTATGTCCATCCCCGATGAGGTGCCTTCTACCTCCGTCTTTGAACTGGCTGTCGTCTCTGCGGCTGACTCTACGTCGACAAACATATTTCAACCATTCATCGCTGAAGACTTGACATCTTCGCAGCTTTCACAGCTCCTTACGATCCTTGAGTGCTACCGCCATTATTTCGACGTTCTACAAACATCTCTCGGCCGCGCCTTAGCAGTAGAAGACCACATCGTCACTGGGTCCCATTCACAGCTGTGACAACAACCATATCGCATGTTCGCTACAGAATGCAGCGTCATTGCTGAACAAGTAGATGACATGCTTCGCAGAGGCATTATCCGACCTTCACAGAGCCCATGGGCGTCTCCGGTGTTCCTCGTCAAAAAGAAAGACGGTCCTATTCGTTTCTGTGTCGATTTTCGACGATTGAACAAGATCACGCTGAAGGATGTCTATCCATCGCCGCGCATTGACGTTGCCTTGGACCGTTTACAGGGTGCCGAGTTCTTTTCCTCGTTGGACTTGCGGTCAGGCTACTGGCAGGTGCCGATGGCGGAAACCGATCGTCCCAAAACCGCTTTTGTCACGCCAGACGGCTTATATGAATTCACCGTCATGCCCTTCGGACTTTGCAACGCGCCTGCAACGTTCGAACGAACTATGAACAACATCCCGCATGGACTAAAATGGAAGATCTGCTTGTGTTATCTCGATGATATCGTGGTCTTCGCACCTAACTTCGACACACACTTATGTCGCCTTCAGCACGTCCTTACTTGCTTGACCAACGCCGGTTCGCAATTAAACCTTAAAAAATGTCGATTTGCCATGCGTCAACTGAACATTTCGGGCCACGTTGTTTCCAAGGAAGGCATCCTCCCGAATCCCGAGAAATTGCGAGTTGTTACGGCGTTTCCTAAACCTGCCACCATCAAAGAACTTCGGAGTTTTATCGGCTTGTGTTCGTATTTCCGGCGATTTGTCCGAAACTTTGCGTCTATCATATCACCTCTCGCGCAACTCCTCGGCAACTGTAAAGACCTCTCATCGTGGTCCCCTTCCTGCGACGAGGCTTTCACCACCTTGTGACGGCTTCTCACGACGCCACCCATTCTACGCCATTTCGATCCTGAAGCTCCAACTGAAATCCACACTGACACCAGTGGTGTAGGCCTGGGTGCTGTGCTCGCACAGCGTAAACCGGAGCATCAGGAATACGTCGTGGTGTATGCTAGTCGCACACTTACCAAAACAGAGAGCAACTACAGCGTCACAAAAAAGGAGTGTTTGACCATTGTGTAGGCCCTTCGAAAGTTTTGCCCATATCTATGTGGTCATTCTTTTGACATCGGGACCGACCACCATGTGCTGTGCTGGCTTTCGAAGTTAAACAACCCATCTGGCCGCCTCGCTCGCTGGGCGTTGAAAATCCGACTATGAGATACGCGGGGTTTATGGCTCAGGACGGAAGCATGCTGACGCCGACGCCCTTTCCCAGAATGCCACAGCTGACTCCGCTTGCGATCGCACATTGTCATCTCTTAACTTTGACACCATTGCTATTGAACAACGCAATGACCCGTGGACTGCGTCTCTTATCAATCATCTCTCCGACACTTCTGAACTTCCAAAGATGTGAACACTCCGGCGCCAAGTTCCACACTTCTCGATACGTGACACACTTCTCTATTGACGCAACTGCGTACCAGAGGGACGCAAGTGGCTGCTCGTTGTTCCACGAACCCTGAGGTCACAGATTTGTTCCTCTTTCCACGCTGACCCACAATGGGGCCACGCAGGAGTCTTCAAGACCTACGAAAGGCTTCGACATCGTTACTACTGGCATGGTATGTATACCTTCGTCCGCAACTTCGTCCGCTCTTGTGCCGAATGTCAGTGCCGAAAATATCTACCGCACGCCTCCGCCGGTGAACTGCAGCCTTTACCATGCCCTTCCCGACCCTTCGAACGGGTTGGAATAGATCTTTATGGGCCCCTTCCATTGACTCCGACTGGCAACAGGTGGATAATAGTTGCTATCGACCACCTAACGTGCTATGCTGAGACCGCCGCTCTTCAAACGGCTACAGCACAGGAAGTTGCCACTTTTCTACTGCGTCATTTTGTGTTGCGTTATGGAGGCCCTCAAGAACTCCTCAGTGACCGTGGCCGCGCCTTCTTGTCCGAGGTCATTGAACAATTGCTCACTGAGTGTGCTATTGTACATCGCACATGTAACGCTTACCACCCTCAAACCAAAGGGGCTACCGAGCACTTAAATCGTACTCTCAATGATATGCTCTCTATGTATGTGACGCCTGATCACTCTAACTGGGACTTAGTTCTCCTATTCATTACATACGCTTATAATACGGCAACACAAGCGACAACAAGTTTCTCCCCTTTTTACCTCCTCTACGGCCGTCACCCCTCCCACACCATTGACACAATTCTGCCCCATTGTCCGGACGCGTCCGAGTGCCTGCCGATCTTGGACGCCACCAGACACGCAGAAGAATGTCGCCAGTTAGCTCGTCGCTTTACCTCCGATGACCAAAACCGGCAAATAGCAATTCATGATGCCCAGACCTCAACTCCCGTTTTTTTTTTCCTGGTGCCCTTGTGTAGCTGTCAGTGCCGCATCGCACACCTGGGCTCTCTTCCAAACTCCTGCCAAAGTACGATAGGCCATATCGTATTCTCGAACAGACTTCTGCAGTAAATTGCCTCATTGAGCCTCTTACGCCACCGTCAGACTTGCGACATCACAACCGCGAGTTTGTACACGTCCAGAGATTCAAGCAGTACCATGGTTCTACACCGCCTGCACAGGACTAAGTCGCCAGGATGGTTCCTTTTTTTCCGCAGGGCCGTTGTAAAGAAGAGGAAGTA